TTTCCTCTCCAGATCCTTAACTGATTGTGTCTGGAAAGACCCTATTTCCAAATACAGTCACACTCTGAAGTTCCAGGTAGATACAAATTTGGTGGGGGGGGGGGCACTTACATTTCAACCTACTACACTTGCCTATGGTTATACAACTGGTAAATGAAGAACGGGATTCAAACCCAGGTGTCATACAGATTTTCCTTTCACATGCATTTGGGTGCTTTGTGCACCCAAGTGCCCACTATTTCCAGACAGCCACCAAAGAGTCACACAGTGTATAGAATTGAGTGAAGATTTAAAGGCATGCATCGCACAGCAGTTCAGCCAATAATCTGAAAAATGCTGTCTCTCAAGTTCTTTTCGCTCAGCATTGTTCTGGGGACCCCCTTCTCCCCAGCATCTCTCTACGTGTTGGGCAAAGCAATTTAGCAAGTGCCTTTGGGTACCTGAGCCTCCCTTATGACATCTCTTTCATACCAGCACATCTTGTCACAACTTTATTACAAACGCATCCATGGCTGTCTTGAATAGATGTCTCTGTGATGTCATATGTATTCATTTATTTAGAAAAAGGAATATTTCAAATAACGCAGAGATTTGTAAGGTAAAAGGTGAAAAGTCTCTTTCCGCCCACTTCTTATTACTCAAAAAAGGCCAATGTTAAGACAAACCAGTTCCTATAAGTTTAAAGAAAAGATTGGAATATGACAAAACAAGTGAAGAGCCTTAATATTTGAGAGTATTCTCTTGGCTCCTGTCTCCACCATTCTCCTTCCTTGTCTGCTTCATTCCAGCCAAACTGTCCCACCTGAGACCTTTGCTCCTTCTACTTTGAACTAGAGATCAACTGCTGATCTACGTTTTGTAAGGAACATTATCCTAAAAGAGGCCGTAACCAAAGTTTAATATCTTCTTGGTAGAATTTAGAGATAGGAGAGACCCTTTAAGACAAGAGTGTGTGGGATTTTAAAATGAGGCTGCAATATTCAATAATTATAGTTAATATTTATTAATGAATATTACAAGTAATATTAAATGTCTTTCTTTACTGAAAATCAGGGTTCCTCAACTCTTGGAATCGTTTATCTAGGTCAATATGGTAAGTGCACCCCAGTTTCCCCATATCTGTGCACAATATGGCTGACCCTTCAATGGAGTTTCTGTCTCAGGAATTTATGTCTTCATTTCCCCCAGATGCTTGGCAAAGCTTTTACGATAAATGAGGCCCAAAGGAGAATGCAGAGGCAATTGAATCAATATCTGTTTCTATGAAGTAGCCAAAAAATTCTACTTTATTGTTTCATTGCCTCCAGGAAAAAAACAAATTCAACAACTGATGGAGAATTTTGAACATAGAAGGAAAGAAATGTTCTGACAACCTGTGATACTTGGACAGTTGCAAATGTGAAAGTTGTGTATGAGTGACCAAAGGGCCTGGTGACTTCCCGAGAGGTCCCCTGGAGAGGGGGCTGGAAACAATGCTTAGCCCTAGATGTCTACACCAGCATGCCCAACATGGGTGCACAATAAGGCGGAGGCAACCTAAACTGTAAGCTACCCAAGGGCAGGAAACCCATCTGTTTTCATTTTCCATCGTATCCACAGCAGCTAGCACACTGCTAGTACACAGTCAGTGCTCAAGAAAATATTTTGATAAAAGTAATAACATAAGAGTAGCGTGAGGGATCCTTGTGATGAAATTGCTCTGTATCTTGACTGTGGTGACCACATGAATCTACGCACGTGATAAAAACTGCACAGAGCTAAACACGCAAACGAGTACACGTAAGGCTGGTGACATCTGAATAAAAATGGTGGATGAGTCAATGTCAATTTCCTGGCTGTGATAATGTACTATAGTTATGCAAGATGTTACTATTGGAGGAAACTGGGTGCAGGGTAGACGAGATCTCTCTGTATGATTTTTTTTTTAAAGATTTTATTGGGGAATTGGGGGAGGGGAACAGTGCTGGGGAATCGGGGGAAGGGGAACAGACAAGTTGCTGTCGTTTTGTTCTTCAGTCTAGTTGTGGAGAAGTCGCTTCACTGGCCCATTATGGTATCATCATTGTGCTCTTCCCGGGTGAGGCAGATCGGTCACCGGCCACTGGATGGCCGCTCACAGCAGCTCTTGGCAGCTCACATCGGCTGCCGGCCACTCATGCTGGCTGCTGCCCACACACGGTAGCTTATGGCAACCCACTGCAGCAGGGACTGCAGCCCATGCCGTCACCAGCGACCCACGGCAGCCTAGCTCCAGGTCGAGCTGTTGTTCACCATCTTAGCTGTGGAGGGCAGTGTCACTGGCCCTCATGTGGGATCCGAACCGGGGCCCTCAGGCGTCCCAAGCCAGTTCTTAACCAACTCGCCACTCGGCCAGACCTCTCTGTATGATTTCTTACAACTGCATGTAAAGCCACAATTATCTTCAAATAAAAAGTAATAATATGAGAGAAGAGAATCTCAGATTCTGGACATTGATCCAAAATGCAGTAGGATGGGAATCAAGATGGACTTTGGCTTTGAAAAGCTGTATGTACTCTGTCTAAAAGCGAGAGACCACCAAGGGAGGAAGTACACTCATCAGAAAGACAGACACTTGTGTAAAGTTTAGGAGCGGAAGCTCACCTGAGGAGGATGACAAGAGACATGGGGAGCTGTGATATTATTGTAGCAGTAATACTAATACATTGGTCAGGTGGGGTAAATGAATAATGGGTCTCAAAATACAAAATACATTAAGACATAAATGTAAGACTGCATCTAAACAGGGAAAAAATTGTAGAAGTAACATACATTTAACAAAAAACAACCCCAAATACCTTCTCGGTTTCATGATGCTCACTATCACAGAGATGAAAGATGATGATTAGAATTCTCAGGTTTCCCCAACTGGCAACACCCGCCCCCCCTCCATGTTTGTTTTGACACCTCCCTACCCAGCCCGCTACTATGATTAACAATAGAAAACATTAAAATGAAAAAAATATGCCAAATAAAGAAGAACTAGGAGACAGACAGCCTTCTATTTCAGTCTTGTTAGGAAGGAAACCAAGGACTAAAGAGGGTGGCTGCCTTAAAATGGAAAAAGAAGGGGGGAAAAAGAGAGCCAGCATGGTGCACTTCTAAAATCTGCAGAGATAAAAGACTTCCTGAAATATCAATCAAACTAATGACTGTTTTCTCTGGAAAGAAGACAACTGCAATGGAAATCCTGGGAGATGGAGTGGTGAAAGCTAACGGGATTCATTTGGTAGGCAGAGGTCCCAGATTTGCACATCTTGATTTGACACTAAAGTTTTAGTATCAGAGGGTGAAAAAAAAAAGAACCCTATAGTTGCTTTTACAAGAAATATTTTTGCTTTACTTTCAAATATTTCTTTCACAGGAAATATTTTTTCTTTACTCTCAAGTACTGTTTTAAAGAACTTTGCTTAAAAAAAATCAGCAAGCGTAAAGTGCATGTATCATTTGCCAACCTAAGCATGAAAATAACATAAATAAGAATAAGGCAGCTCCTGCCCCTAAGAGATCTACAAATTGTTACCGTTATTTGGGGGCTGTTTAAGAAATGTTTGAAACACAGCACTTTTCTGATGTATGTCAATCACCAGCGTTTTCTTTTCTGATGTAGCTCAACCTTTATAAGTTACAATTACTGATTTACATATCCACACAGATCTGTCCCCAAAAAACTTGAGTGTAGAGAATCAAATTTATCTCAATATGGGATCTGTTCACCCCATTCTCTGAACCCGGATAACTCTATAGTGCAATTCTATTATATGGTCCCTAAAGCCAAATTCAAGCCACATACTACAAGGATGAATTGGTCACCTCGATTTCATTTTACAGGAAAGGACAGAAAGTTTTAACTTGAAAAATCATCTATTATGAAGGCAATATGACATTTTTATACCTGTTTGTGTAATAACTTTTACAGCATAAGAAATTACAGAGATTGTATAAATCAACAGCATATGTAGAAGCATGAAACAAAACAAACATGATTATTCTGATCAAGTAAAATAGGAAAAATAATCCAATTCTTAAAAATACCACAAACTCCCCAAATGTGGTGCCTTTTGAGAGAAAATTACCTCTTGCGTTTTCTGGATATAGTAATGACTGTGGTTCCACTACGTCAAATGGAAAACTGCTTTACAGTTAAAAACAAAGAAGCGACTTACATAGATGTGTAGCCCTCTTAATATTAGATATAACAAAATAAAGACATCAGGCTGCCTGCTTTTGCCTAAAGCATGGCTTGAATTTTCTATTAATAGTGACAGTTCATGTAGAATACTACATAATTTCCTATGTTATGAAATTGCACAAGTTGGAGAATCCAAAAAAATATTGCAGGAGTGAACTTCTTCCTATGGGGGAAAAGTATATAAATATACTAGATGTTAACATTTCCATTCCTCATTCAATTATCTGCCCTATTCAAAACATAAAAATACAAATAAATAGATTTCCTTACAAATGAAGTTCATAGTATATTGTTCTAAAAAAAAGATTAAAAAACCAAAAATTTTAATTTACCCTTTGTTGTCATTAAATAAGAAGTCTAATATACAGACACATTCGACATTTATATACATTGTAGGAGTCAGTTGGTCATTTCTTGTTCACAGTTGATATTTAATAGTGCTAGTCTCTGCACACCACAGCTCACATCCCAAATGCAGGCTTAATTCTACTGCAAGTTGCTCGAGATAATTTTTTTTTCTCTTTTTCTTTTTAATTAAAAAAGACTTCATTCTTGGAATTTTAGAATTTACATTTGAGTGGTCTGAAAAAAATACAATTTCAATGCAAAAACCACATCAAGCATTCAAGAGTATATTGCTGGTGTTGTAATCTTTTTGTATGTCTTTGTGTTCATTGAAAAAAAAACAGAATAAAATAAACATGTTAAGACTTTTAAATGTTTAAACATAACCATATAATATTAATGATATGCCTCATGCACACACACACACACACACACACACACACACACACGCATGCACACACACATATACAAACTCAAAAAATAAAGGAAAAAGGATCAGACATCTTTCTTTTGCATTTGTTCTATCTTTCTTCTTAGGAGCCCATAATTCTCCCTGGTTCCTGATGCAGTGGGGTCAAGCTGCAGAGAGATTTCATAGTGTTTTTTGGCCAAGTCCAGATGTCCCCAACGATGATAAAGCACAGCTGAAATAGCAAGAGATGAATTTCATTGGAAACGTTTCTGAATAACTTGTGGTATTCCCAACCACTTGTACAAAGAAATATTAAAGAACCTCTGCAAACAGTTTTCAAAAATCATTGTTTAAAATAATATCGTTTGTACCACAAACTTTATTTATTGTAATCACACTCCCTCGTGATTGTCCTTTAACCACACCCAGTTATTCCAGGCGTTCTTCGTATCACTAGGCATGACTCATTTCCCTACAGCAACATTATTACATAGAGAAATAAAAGGAAGAGTACACGAAAAGCTTCTCAGTGCTGCCATGCAATTTCCAGGAAGCCAGGCTGAAAAGGGCTGGGCTCCCACACTGCTTAGCGCCCTGACTATGTAGACTAGGCCCCGCTGTTTACTTTATGCTGTTTTTTTAGCTGAGCCATCCTGCCACCTGTTGGCAGCTCAGCAGCAGCTCAGCTTGGGCCAGGAATTGAACCGGTGACCCTATTGCTCAGAGCTCGCACTCTTGAGTGAGCTCGCTCTTAATCAACTGAGCCACTCGGCTGGCCCCACTGTTTACTTTACATAGAGATTCTCCTATACATTAAGGCAAAATAATAACTTGTTTGCTGTCAGCTGGAAATCAGGGCTCTAACCATCAAGGTCTGACCATAAAATGATAGTTAAAATAAATCTAATTATTAGAATGGTAAGCCTCTGATGATTATGATTTTGTAAGTAAAACTAATTTTCTACATTGGCAGAGGATCAACCATCAATGCTTCATGATTTTTGTGATGAGAAGCTACGGAGTCTGTAGGAAACAGATTTGGTGAAAAAATATTCACAGGATTAAGCATTCTAAACAGGAACATGCTGTTCTCTAAAAATCTTAATTATTGAGATGTAAAAAATGGAAATCAATGTAAATGCATTTTTAGCCGAGGCATAGAGAACATAAGAAAGCAGAGACCAGGCTAGAATGAAAGGTCTGCTACAAAAAAAGGGGAAAAGCATGTAGGATGGACGGCAAACTTCCAAAGTACATCTCAGTTTAATATTCTAGGATCCTTCACACAAAGAAAGAAAATCTGCATTTTATCATCAGAAGGTGATGGGAGATGCGGGGGGTTGATTTGGTCATGCAATTAAGATTTGTAAATATGACTATTATTTAGCTACCTTTTTTAGTGTAACAATTTCTTTGAAAAACTCACATTTTGAAATCAGATTATAAAGGATAAAGAAAGGCTAGGTTTGAAAAAACTACCAACATTGATTTTACAGAAATACACTCATTTCATTAAAATTACATAGAATTTCAATATGGTTCAAATTGAAAATTTGCCTTACCCAAATTGCCATGGTAACTTGCAGTATTTGGATGAGCTTTAATTGCTTTGAGGAATAAAGTTTCAGATTCCTAAAAAAATGAAACACATAAAAAGGTATTGTAAATGATACAAAATCAACACACGGTTTTATTGCCTATGGCTGCCAAACTCTTAACGTGCTTGCTTTGTATCACTGTATCCTTCTTCTAGAAACACTCAGAGGTCCAGCAGGGCTACATCCTGTTGAGAAGAGGCTCCAAGGGTGAGCAGGCAAGTGTGTTACCAGGTAAAGGCACAGGGTGTGAGGGGCAGTGGAAAGTGATGGTGGTTGCAGAGCGAGGATGAATATGCTAAAGAGCTCTGACACCTGTCTCTCTGCAGTGGCTGGAATTCTGCAACTTCAAGCAGATAGCTTGGTTCAGGGTGCAGTGGGGGACAAACATAGGTCAAAAGACAGAAAAGGGCGTGGCTGCTGAAGACACCCATGGAAGTAAGTATCATTTTCAGTCAGCATCCATGAACTCACTTCCAGGGCTCTCAAAGTAGAAGATGGGGCATACTTAATGTCCCCCCCCAAACCCACAACCCCCGTGGCACCCTAGAAGCACCCCATTCAGCTGGGAATAAATCAGCAGAGACGGCCACCTGTCACCTACGCCTCGCAGCATTGCCTGTGATCATGACCAAATGCCCTGATGTGGGGGAGCTGATTTTTGCACTTTCTTCACATAGTGCTCACTTCCGGTGGGGTCACTAAGAAGCCAGGTGTTTTCTTACCTGACCATTCCTGGCCATGGAAGGCTGGCTGGTCCCTTTCTACCATAATGCCGAGAAATAAAGAAGCATCATGGTTCTTGCTGACACCTGCCAGGGCAACTAGTCATGTCATCTACATTCGTGTCCCTAAAGGGCAGGCTTTAATCAGTGTCAAACATTAGCCTTAAACAAGCAAAGTTGGTGGCTTGGAGACAGGTTTGCGCCTTCTATCTGCATCTTATGTGAGTTTTTCCAGGTGGTCTTCCTACGCCAGGATCATGCATTTTATAAAATGTAAGACCAGTTTCTTTGCCCCGTGATGGCCTGTGGCACTCCTGAGAAACCAGCTGGGAACTTGGGAGAACATCTCTGAAACTGCCTCCTTTCAGATAAGAGCTGACAGAGGAAAATTTGTATTGAAGAAATGTCCAAGAGGGAGTGAATACAGACGTCAGAATAACATCAGGATATCAGCAAACATTTATCTCAGAATTCATTTAAAAGTTAGTGTCTACATTCCAAGTTTCAGTAGCTGAAACTCCTTCAAGGAAGCCTAAGATTTTCCTACTATCTTAGGTATGCAGAAAAAAAAAATCAAATGGATTGTATAGATTTTTAGTGGTTTCTAAGTAGCAGTGCTGTTTCTGATGATTTTCAAATATTTCCATGTAAAACCTAAAATTTGAGAACTAGGAAGGCCAGGGAATCTAACTCTACTTTAAAATGTTCCTCTACAAGCAAATGTATCAACTAGAGAAAACTGATTTAAAGATAAAAAGCAAGTGAGGCATTCTCTAGGGGACGCTAGGTTCATTTCTTGACTCCTTTCCCTCATTTCTCACATTCCCACGAGTGTGGGTCTCATTCAGGATGACGTGCAGTCGCAGTCAGGTTTGGGGGATGTAGTGGTGTTCAGGCGGTGTGCACAGGGAGGGACATGGGGCTTACACCCCGGTAGGGGGGCTGGGGCTCTCGACCAGGCAAGGCCTGAACCCTGAGGGGCGGGGTGGTGATGGGGGGCTGGGAGGAGGAATAGGGAGGAAGGAGTCAGAGGAATAGGGGGACCAGCAAAGTAATGCGGGAGGAAGAAATTTGTCAAAATTTACGAGCCTGGCAGATAGGAAAATGTTGACAAAAGAAGAGGTGTCAGAAGGAAGACCCGGTTTGGGAGGGGGGCAGTGAGCGTGTGTTAGACACGCTTCCTCTCAGGTATTGGGGAAGGGGCAGCCCTGAGAGGAGGTATCAGCAGCCCCTGGAACCGTGTCTGTGCCCTGGGAGGCAGGGCAGGGTCGGAGGCCTCTTTAGAATACAAATGTCTGCAGGTATTTGAAGCCCATGAAATGCTCACCTATTAAATCAGGTGCTTTAATGACCCTGTTCCAGAAAGCAATGAACTGTTTATAAACTGATCTTCTGTGGAGGTGTGAGGATGCTTAGAGACCCAGGTAACCAGCTGATTTACGCCAAGGAACAAATAAATAAACTTGCATTTTAAATCGGGGATATTTTCCTCATCAACAGAAAGGGAAAATAATATATTATTTTCTGGAGTGTATTAGACTAAATATATTTGACAAAGGTTTAGGGCAACACATGAGACAGAGAAAGGCCTCTCAAAGGAACAAGCGAGGGTCTTTATGTCCAGGCAGAGAGCGCGGGGCAGTCGGAGGTCATCTCAGTCACACTGGCCAGTGGGGTAGCCCCATCACCACACCAGCACCCTTAAACCAAGGACAGCGTTTCATAGGGGACACCCTGCTGCCTGCTCCATCTAGGGAAGGTAACGCAGGTGGTCCAACAGGAAGGTGAATCCACGCATCACACAGTTGGGAGAGCAGCTCCCGCTTCCATTTGCATTCCTTTCTTCTGGTTCATTCCAGAAGGAAGTTTCCATTTGGTGGTGATTTGGGGGTCACAACTTCAATGTCTGCCAGTCTCCTTTTGAAGTTAAGAGAAGGCAACCCTCAGACTCAGGGCTTTGGCCAGCAACCTACCTGAGGGTGACTAAAATTATTTTCTTTTCAGTTATCTTGTATTTATAGTAATGGTATTTCCACTTTAATATATTTACCTGTGTTAAAAATCTAAAGAAAGATAACAAGTAAATAATAGGACAAGTAGTATGTAGATGTGGCCCCCCCCAAAAAAAAATTCATGAAGGTGTGGCATAAATGTCTGGAGTTGGGGAAACTGCTCTATAAGGACCAGTGGAACAGGCAACACAGAGAGAGGAATTAGGATAAGAGGAAACGTTTTAAGTACTAAAAACATTACTTTTTATTTTTGTACCACCTTAACCATAAATTGGATTTAAAGGGTAATAAGTAACATAAATTCTAATAGGTTTTAATAGTCCTTAGTTTCATTTAATGATCACTAAACTAAAATTATTATTGTATATACATAGTTATATACGTATATATAGTGTGTAAATATATGTGTGTGTGTGTGTGTATATATATATATATATATATATATATATATATATATATTTAACCATTTAATAGCTATAAATTACGTCCTTGCTCACTTTTTCTTATCCCCATCTCCATTTTACAGATGGATAAACTGAGAAGTGGTTAAGTGATTGTTGTTAGGTAAAAAGGGCTGCTTAAATAAAAAGGTGCCAGATAATCACACGGATGTAATGAGAACACTAACCATGCACAGCAAAGTCTTAAAATAGACTGTGGAAGTTCGAACATTTCAGAGCCAACTGTGAGATGCATTCAGCCATTGCACAGCTACTGAGGGGCCGCTTAATAAAAGCACATCAGTATGCTGGGCAGAAATGGAGATATAAAAATAAGGCTTAAGACTATGAGTGCAAGAAGTATCCAGGCTCACTAAAGAGATTCATCAAAAGTTGATGATAATCTGAACAGCAAATTCTTAGGTGGAAAGACACCTGTCCTGTCCTGGCGGGGACGACGGCAGCTCTGGAGGGTCTGCTCACTACCCCTATGAGCCACCACCATGTTGCCTCGTCTCCAAAGCACCCCCACCCAGGGCTCTGCAAGGACAGGCCACAAGCAGCTGACCAACAGCAATAGGTGTCATTTCTGCATTAAGAGAGAAAAACCTAAATAGTGGTTTAAAATTCTAAATCTTGAATTTTAAAAATACATGAAGAGAGGGCTTGGTGGCTGACACCATGGCTTGGGGTGTAATGTCACTTCCCTCCTTTTGGCAGCTCGTAAAAGAGCTCATAGTTCCTTAGTTCAGATTTCACCTTCTGTTTCCTTCGCTTAGGCTCAGGGCCCTAGCCTAGAGAATCAGGAATTCAAAATGTGTAGAGAAATGGGAAACCCATTTGTCTATTCTGTTTTACGGAATATTTTTTTCTACTTTATCTGGAAAAAAAGAACAATGTGAACTGGAAGCCAAATGAATCCCAGGTTCTGTCACATTCATAGAAATTCTAGTGTCTAGGCTGTCGGATGATAGAAAAATCAATATAATGATTACATAAGCTGAATCTTGAAGACTCGCTGTAGCTGGTCCCTAGACTAACCCATCCCAGGATGACACAGATGGCTGGAAAAGTCATTAGAAGGGAAACCCACACATCTTCCCTCCTTTACATAAGTAGATTCATTAAAAATAAAACTTAACCCCTTACAAAGTCATCTTGGGAGCAAAATCTATAAATGCTAAAATGTATACTGCAGCTATTAAATAACTGGACATTAAAAAATGACAGAAATGCAAGAAATATCTGAGTATTGCTATAGGAAATAATACTGATAATGATATCTAATGAACAAAACAGAAGTAAATAACACAGCGAAAATATAAATTAATCACTACCGTTTAGGCCTAGTGTGATTAAAATAAAATATAGCTGCTGATTCTGAAAGGAAATGTTTCTCATGAAAGGACTAGGGCACTGCTTCTAAAAGTGTTTTCTGTAACATCTGTGTTAGATACCCAGGATGTTGGTTAAACACACATATCCCCTGACCTTAGGCGACCGACCAAGACAGTAACTCTTGTGGGGAGGGCTCTGAGCATCTGTGCTGTAACACACTCTGTTGGTGATTCTGAGATACCATATGAAAGCTTGAGATCACCAGTATTAGGAACACTGGGTCCCCTTCAATATGCAGGGAGTTATGCATCTTCTGACTCACAATCTACTCCTGGCTAACGCTTAGAGCCCAGTTAGATAGAGCCCAGATTAAATATTTTCTGCTTTTCATTGGTCAAAAACTTCTAGGGCCTTGCAGATGACCTATAATAGCTCAAGGCTAGATGAGGAAAAGCTTGGAAGTAGCAAGGACCAGTTCTGTATTCTCCATGGGCTGTTACAATTTTTGTGCAGAACACAGTACCTACAGATAAACCCAGAGCTCCAGCCCAATTGCAAGACGTTGAATCAAACAGCTTTGTGCCAGGTGGGGGAGGGGCATCTGCTAGGATGCACTTCTTTGGGCTTCTCCTCCCCTCCCCAGGTTTGAGCAATGGTAGTGAATTCTGATGAGAAAGAACTTGGAGTTGGACCCTGCAAATCCATCTTTTGGGCAACTTCTCTAGGAAGCAAATTCACCAAGCCACATTGGTGTACTGCTACCACTATTTTGGCCTAATTCCAAATTTAACTGCATAGAAGTAACACTTATGGCTTCTGTCAGATGCTGGCATTAGTTGCAAAAAATCACAGCCTGCAGTTTACACACCTTATATTTCTGGGACTTTCCCAGCACGTTTGCCAAGGAGAACATGAGAGAGTGATCATTAGGTATTAATTCCAGTGCCTCTCTTCCAACTGCTTCAGCTTGGGCTAAATTACCTGCGAGTAAAACATGGAAAAATAGAAAACATGTTACTAGTATTTTGATCTCTCTCTCTAATTAACAGGGCTTATGTGCATTATGCATGATGATTATGAATAAAACACTTAAGAAAATCAATGTAAAATGTATAATACACACACACACACACACACAGTGATCCTATCAGTTGCGAAGCCACTGCAGTCCAGCACAATTCTGACACAATGTGCCAACAGCTCTTGCTTACATTTTGTAAGAGCCTATAAAACCTAGTTTTAATTTGCCCCCAGATACCCATTATACCCAAATCAGAAAAAACAAGTCTGCAGAATAAGAATATCACAGTAACACTTTAATAACTGAGTATTCATCATATTGAAGTGCCCATTCTATACTTTCCTTAGAAACAAGGGCTTGTCTCTTCTCCACATGGCTTAGATGGTTTACTAGCTTTAGATTCTGCCAAAATAAAACTATAATTTCTAATGGGATGCTTGGATTTTTAAAATTCAAGAAGCAGAGCAGCTCCTAGTTGATCAGGTCTGCTATGGGCTAAGAAACCTGATCATAAAGTCTATTAGCATCATATCTAAAATAAGAATCTAGTGTAGGTTTGAAGGCCTCTCCTTTGAGTACAGTCCATGAACTATAGTTCATGGACCCAGTACCATCCATTTCATAAGCCTAACAGCCATTCTTGCTCCTTTCTGGGTACTTCCAGTGTCCTGGATGATGGGCACTGCTAGATAACAGGCTTCAGAAGAAATGAGATATTAGCACACATCTTTGCCATTACTCAACACCAATTTTAAGCGGTGTCATTTTCCCAAACATTCATATTCCAATATGCCAAAGGAAATTCCATTTTCTAGAGCAGGCATTTTTGTAGTACAAAATATTGAATTCCATAATATTATTATTATTATTTTTAAAAAAACCTCTAACACACACTAGGAAAAACCCCACAATGATCTATATTTCCTAATTATTCAATGGTACTGTACCATGGGACCATTTCCTTTGATGTATTGAATTCGCCTTTCTGTACCTGTATTATCAAGGAGTATGATCATGTTGTTCCAAGCCAAGCTGTGCTCCGGTTTCAGCACAGTAGCATTTCTCCATGCATTTAACGCGTCCACGTGTCGATTTAGATCTGCATACTGAAAATAAAGCATGGACCCCCCCCAAAAATCAATATTTTTTTTTGCTTACTCTCTCTAAGACATAATGAAAACCAAACCCCAAATCAAACAAAATCTAACCTGTATATATATAATCAGCTTCTAATTTTTCATATTAACTCATTTAATCCTCAAAATAATCTGAATGTAGTAGATAACTATCCCCATTTTACAGATGAAGAAACTGAGGCACAGAGAAATTAACTTGTCCAAAGTTATACATCTAGTAATGGTAGACTAGGGATTAGAACCAGGTAGTCTAACTCCTGAGCCTACAATCTCTTAACTACAACCCATAATTTAGTGATTCCAGGTGTCAAATCATATTTCAGGCTGAGTTAAAAACCTAATCATTAGTCTTTTTCTAGAAAGGCCTCACCTAGTCCATCTTTGGTAAGTTGTTATTTAAGGGTAAATAAAAAGTATATAATGTGATTACAAGCTAAACATGTCAAATTCACCTTGTGAAGAATGGTCTAGTACCCTCTGCCTGCCTGTATCTAAGTTTCATAAAAATCTATGAGTAGATTAAACACTGTAAACTCCCTGGAAAAGTCTTATGTGGTGAAATAAAACCCCTGGGCATTTGGGGCCTGTTTGCCTCCTTTAGGAAGGAGAGAGTTATGTTTTTTTTTGTTTTTTTTTTTAGCTGAACCATCCTGCCACCTGTTGGCAGCTCAGCGGCTGCTCAGCTCGGGCCAGCAATCGAACCGCTGTTGCTCAGAGCTCAAACTCTTGAGCGAGCTCTTAACCAACTGAGCCACTCGGTCGGCCCCTATCTGTTTTATTTTTATTTTTATTTATTTTTTTTGTTTTTGTTTTTTTTTAGTGAATGTTGTTTAACATGGATAACAGAATACAAAATGGCTGGCTCTCAATTTGCATAGTTAAGAGTGCACAGAGGGAGAAAGTAATGGGTTTTTTAGCAGGTGACCCTCTTGCCTTCTTTAACTCAGTTCAAACGCACATCTCATCTCAATGAACTTGATTCCTTTAACTCTGCAAAAAATACAAATGATAACAATTTATCAAAGTTTAAGGCTATTTCTTTACTTATTGTCAAGTCTGTCTTTTCATTAGAAAACAGAAACATTTTGACTTGCCCTATGACCCACACGGCAAACCGGTGGCATATTATGCACGAGGGTTTAATGAATTATGGAAACATATACGAATATCCATTCGCTAAAGATGTTGTCAGAATTTCCCATGGGACTCAGAAACTCAAGTTACTATATTTTACTCCTTAAATAAAGAAATAATATGAAAAGTTCAAAACTTTAAAATAATTTAGGCCACTAATTATACCAACATTTAATTGTCTCTCTATATTTGGTGTTCCCATAGATTTCTCGCCAGTAAGTGAAATACATTTGAATACACAAAAATCCATGGTGATGTTTTCTCTAACAAACCCAGGAAAGCCAATATATTGTAACTTCACTTATACAACAACAAAATTTTTTCACATATTTTGCTATTTATTGATATTATTATTATTACTATTTATTGGAGAATAACAACAAACTGAAATTTACTTTTATTTTACATCAACTTTTACGCTTCTTAGAGCTTCTATACAAAGTGAACCAGCACTTTAAAGGAAGCAGAAAAAAATGATGATTTAGCAAGAACTACCCATCCAGAAAGTGGATGGTAATGTACATGTTATTTACATATTAGTCCCATGCCTGTCCTTCTGTACTCTGCAAACTACATTTCCCAGGGCCCTTTGCCACTTGGCTCTTTGTAAAGTTTCTGCCAATAGGAGTTATCAGGTGGTGGGAAGCTGGGAATAGCTCTTCTCCGTTCCTTCCACTCTCACTGGCTCCTTTCTATTCCTCGGCAGTGCCTCTGAAGTAGCTAGGTCCCCTCCTCCACAATGCCACGGCAGGAAGCAGTGGTTCTCCCTTCATGAGCTGAGCTCTTGAAGTGGTGGTAGGTCCTGAGATGGTGGCCCCTGCTCTGAGCTCTTCAATTCTGGTGGCACCACTTTCTCCTGTTTGTTTCCCCAACCCTATACATTAATATCACTGAGTTACAGAGTCATTTACTCTGAGTTAATATCACCTTTCCATTTTTGTTCTTCCATTCCCTCCAACAACTGTCTAACAAATTCCCTGCACTGAATCTTGGATATTTAAAATGCTTAGCATGGTTTTTGTTTTCCTGAATGGATCCTGACTGATACAATTAGTCCTTGCATAATGAATTGTCTGTAATAATAGCTTCAGTCTCTATTACTGTGGTTCTCTAATATTAGTAACATGCTCCAAATAATCCAGCTCTTGACAATTCCTATTTCACAAAGAGTGGCATTATATTTCCTTCTTATCTGGGTCTAGAAATCAAAACACATTTCTGTCTCCCATTACTAAACAGTACTATGGAGGCTTTTTTTTAAAAGATTTTGTTGGGGGAATTGGGGGAGGGGAACAGCGTTGGGGAATCGGGGAAGGGGAACAGACAAGTTGCTGTCGTTTTGTTCTTCAGTCTAGTTGTGGAGGACGTCGCTTCACTGGCCCATGTTATTTACATTGCGCTCTTCCTGGGTGAGGCAGATCCGTCACCGGCCACTCAACAGCCGCTCACACCGGCTGCCAGCTACTCAGTGTAGCTTACGGGCAGCCCACTGCAGCAGGGGCTGCAGCCTACGCTGTTGCCGGCAACTCACCGCAGCCCAGCTCCAGGTTGAGCTGTTGTTGACCATTTTAGCTGTAGAGGGCAGTGTCACTGGCCCTAATGTGGGATCCGAACCGGGGCTCTGCTGCTCAGAGCTGGTGTCCCAAGCCAGCTCTTAACCAACGTGCCACTTTTTTTTAAAAAAGAAACTTTTAAGTTATTAAGTTCCTCTTATTTGCCAATATATAAATGTATTGGTTGAGCTGTTAAAGATTAAGCTAAGCTCTTAATGCTTTTAAGCTGTCAAGCAGGCCAAAGCTGGATAATTAAATAACAATGAAGAGCAAAACCTTTAAATAAGTAAGTACAGTTCACAAAAGGAAATGTAGGAAGATTGTTTCATGGTGGCTTAATTAATAAACAGCATACACGGAGAGCAGTACAAGGTCTTGAGCTATTGAATACTATGCATGGTCTTCTATGTGAAAGTGGGAATGAACTCCAAGGACTGGAGCACATGAGAAAATCCTACATTTTAAATTCCGTCTTCTGTTTTTGGGCTATAGCTCGTACAGAGGCTCATTTAGCATAAATTCTCTATTTCCCAAATCCCAAGCAATTGCCGTGACAGGCAGCTACTAGGAGAGGGAACAAGACTGTTACGTATTAGAGCTCTCAAGCATCTGGAAGGCTGTAGGCAGATGCACTCACTTTGCAAGCAATGGTCTAAAAGAAGAGCTACCTCTGAAGAAGAAAAAAAGGAAGGACGAATTCATATGGATATCAAGTATGCTCTGTCACACAAGTACTAGTAGAATAGACACAGTAAATAGAGACAATCACCCCTGCAGTAATCACCAATGCAAGGACTCAGATAAAACCCAATGTCCTCCTCTCCCCCACCGAGCCCCTATTCTCACTTGATTAACTTTACAAGGGTCCACCCTGCCTTGTATGTGATTGAATTTTTTGGTTTTTACTTGTATCATTATAGTGAAGTTTTACTGTCTTTCCACTCCCTTCCCCAGAGAGAACAAGTAGGGGATCAAAATATGTCACCCCAACTATACCACTTTGGCAAAGGGATTATTGTACTGAAAGCCTTTGAGATTCAACAGATACAGAAAGAAGCTTTTCTGGAGCTTCCCTTATCTGACTACAAGCAGAAATTTTTGGGAAATGAGGTCTGCCATCAATTCCCATTTCTGGGGGAAGTTTTACGGCCACGAGAAAGGCATACCCGCACAAACAAACTTCACTTCATTAGTTTCCCCCACATATTTATGCCACCCTTGGGAGCCTAAAACCTGTTTGTCTTGTCACTTCTCTACAAATGTATTGTTCTTTGTTAAGATGCTATGTAAATCCAAATTCTAACCATCCCTTTGAGTTACTCATCACTGAGTTTCTCCCACAGGCTTGCTGCGTATGTTAATACACTGTTTTGTTACTCTGTCTGTGGTCAGTCTAATTTGCATGGCCCAGTCAGAGAACCTAACAGGGTAGAGGAAAAAGTTTTCTTTCCTCCCCTAAGTTTATCACTAGAATAGTTTTAGCTTTCCTAAAATCTTCAGGTTTCCTGGAGAAAGTTGTTTCAGCATCAAAGTATGTAACTAGATCATGAAGCACAGAATTTTAAAATGTAAAACATACAGGAAATGCATACAAGGTCAAGTGGCTCCGGAGAAAGTTTCATGGGATAAAGGGAATATCCTGCTACCAATATTCCTTGTTCAAACATCTTCCTTTTCCCTGGATTCAGTCACATTGCTGCCACCATACCTCTGTTTTCAGGGAGAAGTAAGTCCTCTTTTCACGGTAAAGTATATAGAGATGGTATCTTCCTATGGTATATCATACCTGAAGCATTCTACTTTTTGAATAATAAAAACACGCAAGCCACTTCACTCTAAAATTTATAACACAAGCAGCATCTGCCCACTTAAGGCACAGAATGGGAGAGGTACAACTTCACCCTCGTTAGCCACCTGTTTCTACCACCTTGTTTCCTCCGTTCATAAAATTCTACCTCCCCACTCACACAATCATGGCTATCCAGTCTAGAAACAAAACTGTGAAGACCGAACACATCCCCATCACCGTAAAACTGTAGCCTGGTTTTCCATAAACACCAAACAGTTCACGTTTTCTAGGTTGCTACCCCCCAAAAGTAGTCTGTTCTGCTCTGACCTGTGCTCAATGTTTTGACTGATCTGCTTCCCAAATGCAGGGTCAACAACAGGGTATTGGATTCACCAGGGGACTTTTGTTGGTTTGTTTCTGTAAATACAGATCCCCTATGGAGCTTTTGATTCCTTAAATCTGAGGCAGGGTGGGATGACTTGGATGTACAACCAGCTTGGCGGACCACTGGTTTTAGTAATGTAAGGACTCCGCAAGACCATGAGACTTCAGGCCTTTAAAATGAGGATAACCAGGCATCTCTTTAAAACAACTTTGATGCAATCGTACCTGTGAAGTTAGGCTGTGTCAAATTTGGAAAATTATATATAAGCTTCTTTTAAAAATCACATCACTATACATGTATTCTGGTTTGGCTAAAATGAGCAAAAAGTTTTTCTCTTAACAATTTTATTTCATATAAAAACAAAATAGATTAGGAACATATATATATATATATATATATATATATATANATATATATATATATATATATATATATATATATATATATATATATATATATATATATATATATATATATATATATATGGTTTCTTGAAATCAAAATTAAAGGGTGAGTGAAGGGAGACTATAATCATTCTTTATTAAAGAATTTTGCTGTTTGTGGGTAAGTCTTTTGTCCCCCAGCTTTATTGAAATATAACTGGCATATAACATATGTAAGCTTAAGGTGTACAACAGGATGATTTGAGACATATATGTTGCAAATTGATAACCACAGTAAGGTTAGTTACCACCTCCAGTGTGTGGTGATTTCCCTTATTAAGAAAGTCAAGAGCTACAGTGACTAAGCTGTGCATCCTCATAGGAGCTTTTCAGAAACAATGACAGAATCTGTTTCATCATCATTTATCCATATGTTTTCAGATTTAAAGGTTACTGAACTTAATGTATAGCTACTGCAACAATATTTATTTGAAGCAATAAACCAATTAAAAAAGAAAGTCAGAGAAATCATATCTTTAGATTCTGCCAATAACTAAAAAAGAGAAGTCACTATGCAACACAGTATTTCCTGTTTCCATCGAATTTTCCCAAAGCCTTTTCAAATCAATCCCGTGCCCTTCTCAGCGTTCTTTTGTGGGGAGAACAGTTATCCGCAGGAGGACCTGGGATGCAGGGAGCTGTCCCTGAGAGAAGGCAGAAGCTCCGCAAACACATTATGGGTTTTTTTGTTTTTTTTTTTAATCTCAGTTTTTATTCGTGTTTTAAAAACAGAGAAGCTGATGTTTATCAGGAAGTTACCCCTTGGAGTACTGTTTTACAGGGCACAGGGGACTTTAAAAATTGTAATTTATTCCTTGGTTTGACCTATTGCTTTTGTGATCTCTTAAACATGGCTAATTCAAGTTGGATCGCTCTCCAATTAGCGCTTAAAAACTTACATATAAGGAAATCAAATAGCTACCTTCAAATGAGATAAACTTATGTGAAAGAACTTTATAAGACTTGATAAGAACTTTATAAAGAGAGTGCTAGAAGAGGTGCTACTGCCTTCACTTTATATTATAAACAAGGAAAAAAACGGAGCGTTTCCTCTGCAGCCACAGGCTACCATACACTTACCAAACGCCCAAGGTTATAGTAACAATCTGGGTATTTCCTTCTGTGTTTGATGGCTGTCTGGTAACTTCGCTCAGCAGCTTCGAACCGCTTCAGGCTGTTCTGTACTATGCCTAAATTCATCCAGGCTGCAGCAAAGTCGGGCCTGGGCGAGCATTTTAAAAAGGTAAACAAGGAAAAGAAAGGCTTAGACCCCAGAACACAGGCACTCATTTCTGTGCCACTAGCATAATTATTAATATAAAAACAATGCTTACTGTATTTGCACAGCCAAAGACAGCAGGTCCTCCGCTTCCTGTAGCTCATTCCTCTCTTTTAAAATATTTCCGAGGTTATTCATGGCATGGACATATTTGGGATTTAATCTGGAAGTGGAGAGAGAAACCAAGCCGCCTGTCAATGCTCAGTGGGCTTCACTACACTCTCAGGAATTGGCAAAGATATCTTAAGTTGGGGCCTGTAAAGGGATGGGTTTTTAACCCTAAAAGTTAAAACAAGGCATGTATATAAATGAGACAAGATGCTTGCAGTACCTCACAGCTTCCCGGTAATATCTGATGGCAGCTGTTTGATTGCCTTTATCAGCAAGGTTTTTGCCAACATTGTAGTGAACCTGAAAATATACATAAAAACATGGCCATCAGCTCATAGACCTCTTTGTTCAGAGCAGGAATATCTATTATATCTTCTAAATGAAAATAAAAGGTAATGGCATTAAAAAACAAACAAACAAGCAAACAAACAAAAAAACAAACAAAAAACCACCCACCAGAACTTTAGGTAGAGCCCTACAGAAACTCAGCCAGGGGCTTGCTTGTGCTTAATCCCCAACCCTGGAAGAAAAGATCTGAAGAAAGGGATGTAACAAGCAGATGATGCCACTAAAGTATAACAGAAGGATATTCAACTAACGGCCTCACCAGAGAAAACTGGAAAATGAGCACGTTGAGATGGTTTTACTGCTGACCCCTCCACTCCCTCTCCTGCCTCACACACCCACCCCCCACTAGGGCTGAGGGGGACCACCATTCTACTTTCTGCTTTTACGAATTTGATGACTCTAGGTATTGCATATCAGTGAACTCATATAGTATTCGTGTTCTTATGGCTGGCTGACTTCACTTAGCACAACATCCTCAAGGTTCATCCATGTGGTAGCAGGTGTCAGAATGTCCTTCCTTTTTAAGGCTGAATAACATTCCATTACATGTTTATACATTTTGTGTATCCATTCATCTGTTGATGGACACTTAGGGTATACTCCCACATTTTGGCTGCTGTGACTAACACTGCTATGAACATAGGTGTGCAAATATACCTTTGAGATCCTGCTTTCAATTGTTTTGGACATAAGTGTGTGTATATTCCCATTAGTAGAATTGCTGGATCATATGATATTTCTATTTTTAATTTTTAGAGAACTAAAATGCTTAGTTTTATGTTATGAGAATTTTACCTCAATTTAAAAAAAAAGAGATTTTAATGATTGAAGAGGGTGGTAAAGTACACTAAAAGAAACAGGGCTTACAGCTGCAAACCTACCGGAAATTCTCAGGTCATCTTCATGTGAGGGTACGGAGGTGGCCGACTGATGGCACTTTCTCAAGTGTCCACGGACTCAGAATAAATTATGAGGAAAGGAGCTGGGACCCGAACTGAGACCAGGGCAGCAGACCAACTGCAGCAACTCATGAGGACTATTATCAAAAGTATTTATTGATCATCAAAAGCCCCTTTTGGAGAGTTACAATGTAAAGGCCAATAGCAATCTTAGAAGAGATGACGCTATAGAAATTAATTCAATCGGATGTGTTAAGTGTGACTAATAACAATAACAGAAACACCAGCATAGGTCCGTGCTAAGGGTCACCTTGATCCAGGTGCAGGAGTTGACACAGAATATGTAGAGCCCCTTCTCTTCCCAGCGGCCCTGATAGGTAGCTGCCATCACTTCTGAGAGGAGGCACTGCTTCAGTGTTTGTTAAGCATCTCACCCAAGGTTCTGGTGCTGAGCTTGAAGCCGGCATCCAAAGCCTGTGTTTCTTCTCACTATATCACACCCATTTATTAGGGTGCTGGTTGAAGACAGGGCTGCATACTCAAGGCGATTTCTAGACCCACACATTCACACCATCTATTCCTTTTCTTACAGTAAAATGTTTCCTTTTGCGTGTTAAGGGCTGAATTGTATCCCCCCCCCCCCCCCCCCCGCAAATTCGTAACTTGAAGTCCTAAACCCCAGCATTTCAGAATGTGACTGCATTTGGATCCAGGGTCTCTAATGAACTCATTAAGTTGAAGTGAGGTCTTTAGGGTGGGCCATAACCCAGTTTGACTGGTGTCCTTACAAGAGGGGGAAATTTGGACAGAGAGAAACCAGGGATGTATGCGCACAGAGGACAGGCCATGTGAGGACACAGCGAGAAGGTGGCCATCTGCAAGCCAAGGAGAGAGGCCTCAGGATTTATCAATGCTGCCGACACATTGATGTGGGACTTCTGTTCTCCAGAACTGTGAGAAAACAAATTTCTGTTGTTTAAGCCACCCTGTGTGTGGTATTTTGTTGTGGCAAACTAATATATCGTGAAATACAGTAATGGTTTGAACACATTCAAGTGGCAATACCTCTAAACAGTTCAAAACCCCTTCTGAAAATATAACCACATCCTGCTTCATCAATCTTAAACCTACAGTTAGAGCACATTTTCAAAAATACTAGTATGTCTGAAAAGGTATGGAGCAGTGCGTGACATTCTTTAAGTGCATATGTAACAGAGATTTGTTTTTAACTGCCAATTTCCAGTTCTATGCATTTATTTTTACTTCATCTAACAAAAAGAATCACAAGCAAGAATACCACAGGTGATAGAAATGTATACTATTGTGCAGCACACTGCATAATTTAAACTTCCTGAACCAAAGTATTGTCCATTTGTAGGTATTGTCATCTTCAAATTACAGCTTGCAGGCTGGTTAATGCTATGGTCAGCTGCACATTTTGAAAAGTATGCTCCAAATGGTTTAATTTCGAGCCTCTCCCGGACAGGAGGTGTTACTTCACCTCCTGTCCCATACACAAAAGAACCGAGTCTGAGAATCCAACCTGAGTGATGTGCTTGTGGTCCCCGGAATACAAATACAGCTCTGAGCAGACTTCAACACGCCTCCCGCCTCTCCCGCCCCTGAGCTCCTGCTGTTTTCCTTTGTTATGGGGAAATTCTGTTTTCTCAATAAAAAGCTCACACAAGGAGTTCAAGTGCCCTCTGCAGCACAGACGTGTTCTGTTATACACCCTGAGCGCCAGGGACCAAGAGATCAGGGGAGAAGGAAGGGACGCTGGAAATTCAGACGCAGTTCTTTCAATCGTGCTAGTTAAAGATCTGACACAGCCCTAGAAGGCAAGATGTCCATAATTAAGAACTGGTAAACAGGTTTGCCTCGAGGCTAGCCTTAACCTAGGGGTTATATGGAGGGAAGTATTTGAACAGAAAACAGCTGCCTAGATAACCCATTGTAAAAAACAAACAAACAAAAAACCCCAACCCTGACAGTTTACTTAAAACAGTATTTAAAAAAAATGAGTGATTTTTGTTTCCATGGAAGGTAAAAGACTGAAGAAGCTATTTATTCCTAAACTTTCCCCTTAGCCTTTGTGCTTCACGTTGAGGCAAAGAACCAGCACAAAAGCCACAGATAAAACCAACAAGTGCAACCCAAAGACAGGTAAATATAAATGAAGTAAAACTGTCAATAACAGGAGGCATTTTTAACACCAGTGCTAAAACCAGTTTGGTTCAAATACTTTGCCAATGGTTGATGTTAAACTTACAATGTTTTAAACACATAAATATCCTATAATCCATCCTGGGTCACACAATAAGGAAATACCTCATTGTGGTATATGATGATTTTCACTGTTAAAAGAATTTAGAATTGAATCACCGAGTTGATACAAAGTGCCACATGCTTTAAAGCCTTAAAAACTAATAATAACTAAGTGTAATTAGATACTTGGTATCTCATCCTTAGTAGGTTCAAGGAATTTAATTTCCATTTGGCTCAATTCAATCATTAATAGTGCCTACCATATGCAAGGCACTGTGGACCACACACAGGTACTATATACATGGATGTTGTAATTTTTTGAGAAAGATGAGTCTGAGTTTGTAAATCTGGTCCTAATCTAAGGCCAGGTGTCAACTGCTTATATTTAATATTCAATAAATATAAAGTGGAACCCAGTATAAAAAATGTATCTCCTGTAATGGAGTTTAATGAAACCAGTCTCTTCCTAATGAGCTCTCTTCCCTGAAATCAACCTAGCTTTTTTTTCCAGAAAAAGGAAGTAAAGATAATTTTACAATATTTCAATTTATAGTGGAAAATTAAAAACAAAATCTTTGTTTTGCTCATGCTGAAAGGCATCACTGAAAATAGTTCTTAGAAAGGACTATTACCACCAGTTCCACGTTGAACATGAGGTCTTGTAAGTACATGTGTTTTAAATTAAAGAGAGAAAATGACACAGTGGACATATAATTGTGTGCATGCCCACGTGTGCACACCCTGTGTTTTCTAGCCAACAACATATGAAGTCATATTACTAGGGCAGGCAGACAGGCTCAAACATCACATATGTCCCATCTCACCCTGCCCCACTTACTAGAGTAACCTGGGCACCACACCATACCAGGTCTCGATCTAGCCACATAGATTACTAACCTAGATAACCTCAGTTCCATTTTTTTATGTCTCAGTTTCTCCCATTTGGAAAAATAAAGAAAATAATAGCCTCTTTCTAAAAACCTTAGAGGGAGGATAATGGAGATTAATTATAGAGCCTCTACAAAGAAGTCTGAGTTCCTTGTGGGGAAATAACTGTATAAATAGAAGGGGTAATTACAACTATTCAAACATAAAAGTAAAAATAAAGCCAATCTATTAACATTTTTGAAATTAAATTACAGGCAATTTATTTTTAGTACCATAAAATAAATGGATAGGTCAGCAAATCAAATTAATGATAAAAGTTTGAAATAATTCACTTTTACTCAAGTCTCTTAACTGTAAAACATGAACAAGATTTTTTAATCCAAGAAAAAGACAAACAAGGAGTCAGAACCTTTTATACTATTCTTCCCTTCAACGTCACAATAAGATGTCAACTATTCATTAGATTTATTTATATAATTTTACCTGAAATCATTGCTTTTTCTAAATATATGTAAAAATGAGACAGAACTCCAGAGAGCTCTTTTTTTTTTTACCCCCCAGGACCCAGGATCACACATGGAACACCCTAGGAAGCTGTAATTCTGATGACCCAAGAGAGAATAAACCGTTATTTAGTAATAACAACGATCTATATTAACAGAAATTGTTCTAACCTAACCCCTTGGCATTCTGTTTTGAGCAAGTAACATTCTTTTCTTGCCATTTAATGCAACCACCAAAACTAACACAAGCCTAAGAAAGCTGACATTCTTTGAGCACCTACTATGTTCTAACTGCCATGTTAGGGCACTTCAGACATCGTATTTCATTAAGGCCTCACAACAAATGCCAGGAGACAGGCATTATACCCCCCTTTACAGATACAGGCACTGAAGTTTCAAAAAAGTATGGTTTCGCCCAAAGAGGCACAGCTGGGGCCGGCCAAGTGGCGCATTGGTTAGGAGTTGGCTTGGGACGCCAGCTGTGAGAAGCAGGGCCCCGGTTCGGATCCCACATGGGCCAGTGATGCTGCGCCCTCTACAGCGAAGATGGTGAACAACAGCTTGACCTGGAGCCGGGCTGCCATGAGCTACTGTGAGTGGCCGGCAGCCAGTGGGAGCAGCCGGCAGACGGCGTGAGCTGCCGTGAGCTGCCGTGAAGGGCTGTGCAATGGCCGGTGAGTGACTGCCTCACCTGGGAAGAGTGCTATGATCACAATACCAACATGGGCCAGTGAAGCGACGTCCTCCACAACTAGACTGAAGAACAAAAAGGACAGCAACTTGTCTGCTCCCCTTCCCCGATTCCTCAACGCTGTTCCCTTCCCCTATTCCCCAGTAAAATCTTTAAAAACAAACAAAAACACAAAGAGGCACAGCTGGTTAAGCTAGGAGCTTGGATTCATGAAGAAAACAAGTGAAACAAATTCCTACCAGACTGCTGCAACAAAAATACTGCCAATTTTAAAGTCTATACATTTATTTGTACCTAATCTAACAAAAGGAATCACAAGTAGAGAAACCACAGGTGATAGAAATGTGTACTCCTGCACACCACACAGCATAACTGAAACTTCCTGAACCACACTGCTGTCCATTCAGAGGTGTTATCATCTTCAAGTTACAGGTTGGAGGATGCGAGTTAATGCTATGGCCAGAGCTCATGTTTTCATGTGTGCTCTGAATGGTTTGACAGTGTACCTCCCCCAGCCCCAAACCTCGTGTGGTGTTAGCTCTCCTGCCATCACTTCAAAAGGTGACCGGACCAACCGGAAGATGACTAAAACTTCATTTAAGTAATAGGCTGTTTCATGGACATTGTCTGGTTTTAATCATTTCTCTTGAATTATTTTGGCCAAGTGGCATTTTAATACGTTTTATCAAAACCATAAAAAACAAACAAACAAAAAAACCCACGAGGGAAAACCCAAGTATGGTCTTATGCTAGATTTTGTAGGGAGGTCAGCTTTCTTCTTATTCAGCTGTTGAACTTACAACATTTCCTAGTAGCGTCTTTCTAAAGAACATGGCAGCTCACATACCTTAGCGTTGAGAGGACACACAGACAGGGCACTTCTGAAAAGCTGTTCTTCACTTCGCCACTCACCACTGCGAATCACGCATCTCAGCGTGTTTAGAAATAAAATTCCCAGGACAAGAGCAGCAATTAGCTTCTGAAGAACAGAGAGACAAGGTCAATGTCATTAGGAAACTCTGTCCAACCATCTCGGTGATGCACGCCACCACTCCCGACCGTACCTTTTTCTTCGTGTGTTTACTGAGGGCTCCAAATCCAAACGTCAGCAGCATGCAGTACCCAGCACTGGGGAGGTAGAGGACTCGCTCGGCCACCACAAAACCCACTCGGAAGAACAGGTTACTTGCCGGAAGAAATGGGATGATGAGAAATCCTAGGCCAAGCGTGAGGATTCTGGAAAACGAGAAGTACTTAAAATGGCTATTTTCAGACTTAAGAAGTCCTACTCAACATTGAAATAATATTAAAGACCTTTCCCCCCATGCCATCAATTGAGAAATGTAGCAGCAGCAGCAAAAAGTGGTCATCAGTAGAGAGGGTTTAGCCTGGCAGTATTAGGATAAGACATAAAAATCTTACTAAGGCACTTGGCATCAAGTATATGGATAAAACTTACATGTTGCACAATTCATATCAATAAGGTTAGAATGACTACGTTTGTGAGGCCTTATTAACTCACCTACTCTTAAGTACACCTCACACCATGCAGGTACTGAACAGCCCAATGGATACTGGTCCCAATTAGTTCAATATAGTTTTCATGGTAACCCTCCCCCAAAACTTAATGGGAATAATAATACCTAATTTAAACTTTATACACTCTGAAATAAACTAATATCATGTTGGGGGCTATACCACCACAAAGTTCAGCCAAGTAAAAAGAAAGCTAGAAACTAGGCTATCATTTCTAATATCCCATATAATACAAGAGTTTGAATTGGGAAGCTAGGTCAAAGTTGGTGGCTCCTTTCTGGATCCTGTGTCTACAATATTTTAAAAATAACATATTCATACACATATATAAGTGAACTGGGACAAAAATTTGTTGCCTTTTAGAATTATGAACCAATTTAAGACACAGGTAAACTTGAAACTTTATTTGGAGAAATTAGTAAATCTAATTCCATAAACACCTCTGTGTAAAGGAAATCATCTTAAATACTTTTCTTTCTCATGAATCACATTTGTTTTTCCCTCAATTATCTTCTCAATAACCTTCCCCCCCACCTTTTTTTGTGTGGAAAGAATAGTCTCTTTGGGGCAGCAGTTTATTTTGTACCAAATGACAACAGAAGGAATCACTATAGCATCCACCAGGGTTTTCCGAAGGAGAACTGTGAAATAATGGGCACAACACACATCAATTACACTCTCTGTTCTGACCCTAAATTACTCTTTACCACCTACTGAGAAAAGGATCTCAAAATGGTACTTCATGGAGAAAGGGGGAGGGGGAGATAAAGCAGTCATCCATACCCGCTCCTCCAAGTTCACTCCCCACTAGTTGAAGCCAGCGATGGATTCCAAACGGATGAACTCATCCTGGCGAAAATAGGTATTGGAAATAAATGTCCTTACACATTCCTTCCATAAAATCGTTAAAATGATCAGTGCCGGATTCAGCAAAATGCTTCTGACTCAACCCAGTATGGATGTTAAAATTCAGCGCTGCCTCTCACCTTCTCCTGTGACTGTCTTCGGAGCAGAGGGCTTGGCACATCAGGCCAATTAGGCAGAACCAGAGTGCTGCTAGTGCAATTACCCTCCAGTCACCGGCTGACTTAATGAGGGGGATGCAGCCCATTGACCAATCAAAACACAGCCACCAGGGGCACAGCAGCAGCCAGGCATTCAATGAATAGTAGTAATTATAGTTTATGGCCTGTCAGTCAAAATGAAAACAAACATTTATTTGATACTGAAGGTGAAAAAAAAATACATATATATACTCACTTCACTTCGGTGGCATCTGTATGCTTCTGTTCAAGTAGAACAGTTGTATAAATAAAATGTTGCCACTTTCTACATTAGATATGGAACGACAGTTCGCAATTTATTAAACGCATTCAGATTTTAATAGAGATAAATACTGCACAGCCACCAGACACTGCTATAGTGTTGTTACATTTCTGGTCTGACATTATTGTCTGATTAGCGATGCCCAAAGTCTGTGACCCAGGGAATTTGAGGCCCAGGGTCATCTATGTGCCTAACAACATAAGAATAGGATGCTATGGCACTTCTCTTGAGTTCTGTCTCATGAAATGCACCGCTAAGAATCTGGGGCTTGACACCCTTGCCTTCAGAAAAAGCAAACCTTTACAATAAAGAGAGTCTTGACACCATTAGATTCTTAAAGATACCACCAATATTGTTATATTTGTTTTAACCCTGCCAAAATAATGGGATTAGGGGGACACTTTAATGAGGCTGTCAAGAAACCTGAGGTTAGAAGGAACTCCTCTTTAATGGAAATACAAGGGGCTTTATAGCCTCTCAATGACCTAATAAAAAGCTGCTTTCATCCTAGAATATCCTCATGACAGCACACAAACACGGAGGGGTTCCATTTATTAGGGATCTTGTGTGTGTGCTGGGGAGTGAGATGAGGAGGCGGGCTGAAGGATCTGGGCATGTGGCAGACAGACTCACAGAACTCACCCTGACCAACATGCTGTCGGCAAAGGAGGCGGGGTTGTCCACCTCGGTGAATGCCGGGGGGCCGGTGCCCATGATTCTCCAGCGCATGTAGAGCACCCCTGCTCCCCCCAAGGCCAGCAGGGTCATTCTGAAGAGGAGACCCCCGTTTCTGAGCACGCCAATGTTCTGAAAGGACATTGCAAAGCCCTTGATGTCACAGGTTTTCAAATAGAAATGTGGCCAAGCCAGGAATAAGCATGCAGCAATTCTGCCTGAACTGCACTGACATCGCGCTTTAAAAGGTTGGCTATTTTAGCATTCAAAATCACAAGAGATACTTTGAAAATGGCATTTGAAATCAGCTGGTACTTGACATTTTCCATGTCTGGGCTGCAGACAAAAGTATATACTCACCTCTAATGACTTGTCCTTATGTAGTACCTTCTGGACAATTTCCAGAACATTTAATTTGCCTATCACCAGGATGTCAAAGACTGCATTTAAACCCTAAGGAGGCAAAACAGGCAATCAGTGGTGGCAGAGCCTAACTCTGCTTAGGTAGCAATTATACCTCACAATTTTATTACCAAATCTAGACAAGGACTATAGTGGATTCGGTAATTACGGAAGACCTCTTCGGCTCTTAAAAAAAAACTTTATTGTTCCTATGAAATCAGCTCATGGTAATATATTATATCAAATGTATTAGTTAGTAAGTTCCTGGTAGTCATCATTTCACAGTCTGCATGTAAAAGTACTATGAGATTTGGGATAGCTAGAAATTTGGACCTCCGCAGAGGTCCTTCCTTTTCTTTTTCTTTCTTTACTATAAAACAGTCCCTTAGTTGGTATAATAGAGTGGTTACCTGGGCAGTTGTTATGCCTAAAAACATAAAGGCAGCCATCCACCTTGAAATCCCAGCCACGTAAGTAATTACGTCTTAAAAACCTCAAGTGCTGACTGGCTTCGGCAAGTGCAGCACGAGCAGGAGCGGGACACATAGAATAGTCTCTGCTGGGCCTCTGAAGATCTCTCAGGGTCAGACTCCTAATAGCCCACCAGCATTCTGTTCTTGCTGGGCACACACCAGAATGTCCCAGCCTCCCCTGCAGTTAAGTGTGGTCATGGGACGGAGTTCCAGCCAATGGGATGTGGGTAGAAGCGATAACGCCCCATCTTGGAGGTTTGGTTAGAAACCTGTGCACCTGCCACCACTCCGTTTCCCCTCCAGCTGGCTGTGAGGGAGACAAGGGAGATGACCAGGGTGACATTGGGAACTACACTCTGAAGGTGGCAGAGCCTCTCCCAGCCTGGGTAACTGTGTGGAGGACAGCTACCTCTGTCAGGTGAAGCCCTGCCCGCAATTGTTAGGTGGATGATAAATAACTTCAATTATGTGATGATGCCACTGGATTTTGAGAGTGTGATACTGTGGTTCCGCCCATATGAACAGCTTCCATTACCACTATAAAAATTTCTTTCTAGCAGGTGAGGGCTGCTTTTGCAGCTATTACACCTATAGCTACAGGCTGAAGGCTACATGAGCCTTGGATGGTATTGTCTACCCTGCAACAGACGTTCCATAGATGTTGCTGCTGCAGACAATGTCATCTAGGAGAACTCCCTGCCCAATACAGTGGTCAGAATAAATATGGCGCTATTTGGATAACACTGCCCCTAAATGACTTGGGTCTTTTTAATACAGGGCTTTGTGACAAAGGAGATCATAAAGCATCAGAAACCAGTGGTAATTTGTGGTTTTCAGAGCAAGGATGACATTCCTACTTAACCCTCTCGCAGAAGTGCTGGGAGCCATTAATTATTCAATGCACGGGCCAGTGCTGGGTTAATCATTTCAAAGAATGCTGATTTTATTCACCCGTGTGATACATAATTTTAGTGGGTCACAGAAGACCATTTCTGCCTGTGTAATCCATTTTCTAGAAGGCAGGAGCTCCCTGTTGAGCCACCGCTGCTTTCTTACACCGTTTGTTTTTCTGCCTGTGAGCTATAGGACAGTCACCAAGGGGTGACGGGTCATGTCGTCATAAGGACTAAGTAAAACACAAGTTTGGCACTCCCTCCTCCTTCCCATTTAAATGCATCATCAAAATGTCCACATTCTTATCACATTTTTGAAAACAGCTAACTTGCACCATATCGTTAGTCACATAAATTCTCTAGTTAGTCAACCTAATTCTCTAGTGCTTTTCAAATATTAATGGAAGTCACCTTGAGACCTGGTTAAATGGAGATTCTGTTTCAGCAGGTCTGAAACGCTAAATTTCTAATAAGGTCCCGGATGATGCTGATGCTGCTGGTCCCTAAACCACACTCGGAGAAGCAAGGGTTCGGACTTCAGGATCTCAACAGGATGGTTTTGTCCCTCAGGGGATGCTTGGCAATCTATGGAGACATTTTAGGTTGTCACAACTGAGGGGGTCCTTCTGGTGTCTAGTGAGCAGAGGCCGGGGACGCTCCCCATACACAAGAAGATCCAGCCGAAATGTCAATAATCCCAAGGTTGAGAAACATTGGTTTAGAGCAAACATTTAAAAAGTAACTCATGAAATTCAAGTATCTTTGCACAGTAATTCTTTCTATACCATTTGCTAGCTAGCTAACCTTAATATTATAGATCAAGTCCAATAGAACCACTGATCTTTGCCTTTACTTGTGTCAAATCCTGAATAGTTCTTACTGCTCTTTCTTTCCTACAGTATTCCTATACAGGCCATCCATATCTCACATCTTTGTTTTCCATTTTCCCCCCTCTGCTCACATTCCTAATTTCTAGATTTCCCTCTAATAATGTAAGGCAGAAAACTGGCTAGAACGGAGAAAAGGGAAAGTGGGTTTCAATGCCTCTCCCTTCCTGTGCTTCCGCTCAGATCAGACACAGGAGGTGTGTGCCTCCACTCTTCAGAGGCCCTCTCCTCTCCTCTTTCACATTTCTAGTCGAAGCCAAGTATAACATAACGCACATGAAATACCTGTTGAATCAGGACCAGAAGCGTTAATGGGGCCAGTCCATTGTTATATTTAGGACTGCTGAAATAGGAGAGCATCCAAGAAGACTCAAGCCATTCTTTTACCTTTTTCTACAGGCCCTCTCCAAGAGAACTAATCGTTACTCTATAAGAACCTCCCACTCCATTTCCACCAGTTGCTAATGCTAGCCAACCGAAACAGTCAATTCCCATCGGAAACACCAGGATTGTGAAAGCACAAATAATTATCCAGAAAGGTCTAAGACTGTAGGTCAGCAATGGAGTGCAACAGAGGTGGTCACATGGGCAGAGCCCGCCCAGTTTGTCTCTACAGGGGAGGCCAGGGTGTGTACAGAGCCGACCCTGCCTGTCTCGAGTCTTACCAGCACAGTGATCCCTTGCTCTTTGCACAGCATGGCCACAGCTCCCAGAAGGATACTCAGCAACACCCAGAATGTGGAATGGGCTCCCTCTTTGTTACCTGCCAATGAAGGAAAATGACAGACGTATAAGTCATATAACATAGCTCAGTCTTGCCAGCACCAGGAACTAAAATTTTAAGCAGGCACCTTAAATAGCTACAGTATACAAACAGAGTTTCGTCTTCTGACAGCCTTTCTCTGTAGGTGAGTGTGTTAGACCCCTGTGTTTCTAGTTAGACACACGTCCCTTTCAAGGTGTACCTTAGCAGGTGCCCAGAGCCTTTGGGGACATTGTAATGAAGCCATGGCCACAAAGACATTTCATTGTAGAGTTCCCATGGGGCAATTCCCTTCTTTCCAACCTGCCAATCATCAGCTAGGCCGTTCTGACAAGTTACGCTGAGAACTCCCACTGAGAATGTAAGCACTGCATCTGGGTGCATGATGACCTATATAGTTACTGCTGCTATCACAATGGCGACGGGAGCGACGGGAAGGCCTGAGCAGCTCTGAGAGTCTCTTCTACTCCAGGGATAGAAGTCTGGGCTCTCTGAACATCAGGTGGCATGAGATGGGTCTGCTCTGACCTATGAAGAATGCAGGACCACTGACTGAGGGCCGGCACCCGCCTAGCACTGGGCAGGTAAAGGCATAGGGCAGGCATGGCTGCCAACCTGCATGGGAACTCAGGCACCAACAGGAAGCCATAATGTCACTAGATAGTGAGTGCTGTAATAAGAAGCGCGGGTGGGGCTGAGCTTGAGTGATAACTAACCCATGGTCCCTAAGCGGCCTTCTGAGGAGGAAGGGCCTAGCCATACACTGTTTGGTGGGCGGTATCTGCAATTTGGGGGCCAAAGCTGAGCTGCTCAGGAGGAAAGGAAAGGCCACACATGGTGCTCATCTCTCTTCTCCCCTTGTGAGGCCCTCACCTCCTCATCCAGATGGTGAACAAACATTTAAAAAAGACAGTTTGGAAGTGGGGCAGAGAACTCGCGTGGAGGACAAAATCATTAGCTTGCCCGGGGTGCCTGTTCAGTTTCGCTTATAATCAGAACTCCTGCTCTAAATTCCAGCACTGCCATTTACTATGTGACCCTGAGCAAGTTCATTATACTCAGTCTCAACGACATCATCTGTAACACGAGGGCAGCATTACCAACATATTCCCTATTGGAGAAGGAAAAAGTATGTAGAAATATCTGGCTATTTTTGTTAAAAATTATATAAATATGATTGTAAATTACAAAACATATTTCTGGAAATCACCTAAGAAACTAACTACAGTAGTTTCTGAACAATTTTAAGAAAAAAATTTGGGTAGGGGAGGGAGGAAGTCTGACTTTTCATTGTATAAAACTTTCATACCTTTCAAAGTTTCTTAACTATATGCATCTATTAAAAACCATACATTAAAAAAAAATCGTTCGGTATAATGTTGGGATCACAGAAAGCATTCAGTAAATGTTTGTTGCACACAAATCAGCAAAACTGCCCCAGGTTCCAGGGAGACGGGTTTCCAATGGGGCTTTGAAGCAGTGATCAAGGTGGTGGCTGATCAGTCACCTTGTCACAAAAATGTGCCAAGCTCATTATGTGGTGGAAAGACATACGTTGGTTCTCGTTAAACTGCTTGATCAGGAACCCAACAATGAAGTTTTTGGGGAGAGAGCGGGAGGGGGAGGTGGAGGAGGGAGAGAGGGAGAGAAAGAGAGAGAGATTGAAACAAACACAAGCGTATTTGGTGTGCATGATGCAGATCCTGAATGAAGTGACATAAAAAGTTCTGTGAATACTTAAGAACGAATCAGCAAAGCCCTGTGATGGAAACCCTCAAAGAACCCAAACTTCTGGTCCAGGAACAGTCATGGCGTCTGGGGTAGGAGGCACTTCTACCCTCAAACATTTTACATATAGATGATGATGCAGAGGGTCTAAAACCAGCTGAGTCCCTGGACTCTCTGCACTGTGGGCAGGACTGACCCTCAATGTGCCCGACACCTACTCTGGTATGGCCAGACTGTTCAAGGGCCCAGTCAGCTGGCTGCAAAAATGTCCTCATTTACAGACAGGCTTCAGCAGCAGGAGATATCGGAAGTCAAGCAGAAAGGATGCATGGGTAATATTTTCTGACTTTTTCGGCTTTTCTTGGGAATCTCTGTATATCAAATTTCCCGTTTTAAGGTACGAAGGGGCAGAATACATATAATACAAAAAAACATTTTATTTGGCTGTTATAGTTGAGGTACTTTAAGGCTTTCAACGAGGCCAGATCATCAGTAAAAGCCTTATTAATTCGGATTCCATTGTCTCATAAAACACGGTGAACACCCTTGTTTTAAGCCTTTCTCGTCCTTCCTGCTGCCTATAGGATAAAGGTGACCCTTCTGAGAATGGCATTTAAGACCTGCTGACCTAGCCACATGGCATCTCTCTGGCTTTTCTGGGCCTATATTCCAGGCACACCTGCCAACATGCTCTCACTTTGCTTTGTGTATTCTGTTCTCTTTGGCTACGATGCCCCTGGCAAAATCCTACCCATCTTATACAGCTGTCAAACGTCACTTAAGCTGTGAAATCCCACCCCCACCTTCCCAGGCAGCCTCCTTTCTCAGTTCACTTGTTTCTCCACAGTTAGACCAGCAAATGGTCTGCATGTCTGACGTCCCTGAGAACAGGGTCTCACAAACTCCGGCCTCCCTGGCTAACCCCCTAGAGTAAGTGAGGCCCAGCCGCAGCATCCTAAACCAAACTTATCACAGTCTATCACTACACTCTTCACACAGTTTATTACAAATACTCGGTTTTCTGAATTTCCCCTAGAGGGGGAGAGGTGGGGCCTCTCAACCTCAACACTACTATTTCTGGTCAGTTCCTTGTTGTGAGGGCTGCTCTGTGCACCGGAGAATGTTTAGCAGGACCCCTTGCTTTCCCCCATTAGATACCAGTAATATTCTCAGCCCGCAGTTGGGACAACCAAAGATGTCACAGATTTTGCCAAACGTCCTGGGGGCAGGGATAAAGAAATTACCTCCAGCTGTGACCACTGCCCTAAAATGTGGTCCACGACCTGCCCTTGAACCCTGTTAGAAACTGACTCTTAGGCCCTGCCCAGACCTACAAAATCAGAAACTGGAGCGTGAGCCCAGCAGTCTGCCCCTTAACCAGGCCTCCAGGTGATTCTGATGCAGCTGAAGGTGGAGAAGCTTACTCACTTACTCACGGACACTTACTCACGTCTCATCCCTGCCACCCGGCCTGGCTTGTCGGAGCCACTCAAAAGTTTTTTTGACGGAATCTATGTCATCTGCCTGACCCTGGAAAGACATGGTCATAGAATGAAAGGACTGTCCACTATCTACCAAAAGTGGCAATAAGCCCACAAATCACAGAACCACATCGTAGTAAAAGTTGGAGTGGTGTGTGTTTTAGAGATTGTGCATATAATCTGCTTTGCAGTGAAGGAAATGCTGAAGTCCTTTCCACAAGGCATCCAGCAGGGGGCCACGTGGCCTTGACTTCAGTAACTTCTGAGATGGGTATTAATTTTCCATGACAGCCCATTGCAGTTTTAAACTTGGGGCTGCTAGAATATTCTTTCCTGGAATGAGCTCACACCTGCCTCCCCCAAACTTCAGGTCTTGGCTCTGCCCTAGAGTAGCATCTCCCCAATTGTTCTGGTGGCATGGTGCCCAGAAGCCAAGCTCTCTTTACTGAAAACCATTATGTATCGGAATATTTCGTTCCATCAAGCAAACTAAGGATAATTTTACTTGCAGAAATGAATTACATTATATGTATGTAATACCAAAATATCATAATTATGAGCCACAAAAATAACAAAACCCTGTTCAACTAAACATGATTGCATATGAGTGTTTACACATTTATTGAAACATTATTTTCTTTGGGCATTTGCGGACACTCATGAGCAGACAAGTGTTTGCAGGCACCAAAGCCTTTAAAGAAATTATGGCCAAAATAACCTTAAAGTTAACCTATTGGCTAATTCCTGTTAGGATACGAGTTTGAGAAAGGCCCCACACATTGTAGCAGCAGGGCGCAGAGGTCCAGCTGGCAAAACAGAGGTGATCACAGCCCACAATGCACCACGCCAGGGCATGGGAGAAGGCCACGCCTTCTGACACATGACAGAAATGTATGGCAGAGGACGCCGTTAAGGTTTGTCCTCTTGTTGGTTCATTTAGCTTATTCTCCCATAACACATCTTCCTGAGTCTGTGTCAAACTACTTTCAGTATTTTCTTATATTAGCAGTTTATATGTAAATAGGCGTCTTTCATTATAAACGAACCCATTAACTATCACAGGGTCTCCTCTACAGATAAATGTGGTAAAAGCACCCCAGCTCCGGCTCCAGTGCCCCTCCAGACTCCACACCAGGCCCAGCACGAAGAGTTGGCGCCACGAACCCCTGGCCTCGGCTTACTGTTTTCACGTCCACTAGGCGTTAGCTTCAGTTAGTTCATGAGAAACCAAATGGGCCTCTTACCCCATTACCTGGATTGGATTATTTTAAGCTTCCCCTTTTTGTGTTCATACCTCTTAACAAAACATAATAGGATTTCCCAACGTAATGTTCCCTGTTCTTAATATTAAAAGCAGGTCCCTTGATCATTTTATTATACATTTCTTCCTAGAAAAACTGAATTAGCTTGTATTTTACTTGACTGTAACATGGATTAATATTTCCCCCATGGACCAGTGGCTTTGGATAGGAAAAAAAAAAATTCCTAGCTCCTCCATGAAAACACCCAAAAGACTCCTCTTGAAAACATTCTATTAACACAAACTTAAATTACTACAGGGATGCAAAAGTCAGGAGCTCATCTTCCACGTGTCTGGAATTTAAAATGGCTTTCTCCTCAGATGGCTAAATGAGAGATTTCACTGAACACAGAAAAATAACTCACAGAAAATACAGCCTTCAGATTTATTGATAGCCTTCTCCCTACTCACCCAAAATTTCACCACACTTCTCAAAAGAAGAAATTTCTGTGGGGGACCCAGATTCCTACCACCTTTCAAATCCTCTATCA